AAAAGGAGGTCAATCCATTAACCATATTGTCGCGTCCCTACGCTTTTTTTATGTTGTGTATGTCATATGTTTTGTCAAATTAACAAATTTGCAATATTCAAAATTATTTTTCGCGAAATAGCCTCAGACCTTACTTTTTACACAATCTGGCAACTTCTCGGAATTGGCACTGACCTTTCCAACGAAGAACTAAAGACGAGAACCAAAAAATTGGACAGTGTGTTTTTTTACCACGCCGAGTGATAAGGATACCTACCTATCTATACTAATTATATACTTATCCATCTCGTTACCGAACCTATAATAAACCTCGCGAAGTGCGTGAGTTTTTTTGTTTCTGTGGAGAACCTACCATAGATACGAACATCAAGATTACAGCACTTTGATCTCAGCCGGCCGGCCAGAAGAACGAAGATTTTGATCAGCCTGGATTATCACACCAAGGTAAGATCTGAGTGCTCGAAATTTTCCAACTCCGCGGTCTTCAATTAACTACCTATTCAAAATACAGTCCACTGTTTCTTCTCAAGCTATTATTCTAATTATAAACCAATTCAACCAATATCCATCACATATATTCCTTGAACAAAAACAATATGAGTTTCTTAATACCATTTTCCATTTTAGCCCTTTATATTCGATATACAGGGTGTCAAAGTTGGAAATTAAAAACTGATTTTTTCTAATTACTCGCGTATTTAATAAGATATCAATCTCAAAATTGGTACATTACTTCAGCACAAAGAGTTACATCGTGTGAGGAAAACAAAACAGAAAATAATTGTCAAATATTCAAAATACTGGGGGTCAAGTACACACTTACCCCCATATTTTTTTTGTACGTGCGCTAATGACTTCCTATCTATTTTTCTTCAAGTGTTCAATCATTTGTGAGTATTTTTTGTTTCTTGTGAAATTTCGATAAAATTATTTGTTTTTCGAAAAGTACTGGTTATTGTTTGATGCCTATGCGGCTTATGGTAATCTCATAATGTTCACATACTCCTATTTATTTCGTCGAAATTGGAAGAGGGCGTATTTTTTTACGCACGAAATGGTAAATATGGAAATACCGGGTGCTCAGAGCGAATGTATTAAAATTATTTTTACAAAAAAAAAGTGTACACATAATAAGTATTCAAACTATCAAATTATTCAGTTTATGATAATTAAGTATTTAAATCGATCTTTGCTTATGTGCATTGGTTCCAGGGCACGAGGGATCGCCTAGCAAAAAAAGTGCATAGTCTATTTTCTCCGGTCCTGAGACTCTCTGTACATCAAGAAAATGTAATTTAATCGCAGTCATCGCAGAGCAGAAGGAAATGGAAAGGGAGCGAAGAAGCCTCGGTGAGCAATTCCAGGTCAACGAGAACAAAAAAGATCTTCAACAACAGGTCTTCAACAACAGCAAACCAGAGCGGAAGCACTGCCCTCTGAGGTATTACTTACAAAAATGGGCCTAGCGGGTACTTAAACTTGCCTGATTCGTCACACTGAGGCCGAAACCACAAAACACATATACTTTGCTTGCATGTATTGTTCTAGTCCGCTAATGGCTGAATCACCTAAAACAGGTCTACCTGGCGCATGCAGAGGTGGAAAATTCAACTATCAAGGGAATCCTAGGTGCCATCAGAAGTCTAGGGTTATAGAAGACAATTAGAATAGGTTAATCCCTACAATATAGGTACAATCTAATCGTCGCTACATCGTCGTTTGGCGGGGGGCTGGTACCAAGGATCCGGTTCTGAAGGTGAAAAACTGGGATTGTTGTATCCATTTTGAAACCAGGCAAGAGTCCCAAACTACCAAGTAGCTACCGCCCTATCTTTCTGCTCAGCATAGTAGCCAGAGTGATAGAAAGGACAATTCTCCATATGGTTGACACTCTTGTAGAAGACCTGAGTGTGATCCCTCCTGAGCAATAAAGTTTCCATGAGGGACACAGAACAACGTCCCAAGTTACCCGAATTGTTCACGGGATCAAAGAATAAGCCTTCAGTGAAGATGAAAACACGGTTATGGTCCTGATGATATTGGAAAAGCATTCGACACCGTTTGGCACGAGTGGCTGATGTGTGCATAATTTCCAGACAATTCTCACTTGAGGTAGGTGTTCCGCAGGGCATTTCACCTCTGCTGTACTCTTTATATACTTCATATGTGTAGATGATGCTGCAATAAATCAATAGAGAAAAACCCAAAGTCGTCTCCACAATTTTTAATGTATAATAAGGCAGTCAATCCTGCTTCATTAAGGTTGATACATGTTTCGGCAATTCAAATGGCCATCTTCAATCAAAAAATAACAAAGTGTATCTACAATAGGAAACCAAACATGATTTTATATATAAGAAGAAATTGAAAATGGAAAAGACAACAGTTGTAAATTCAAATTGAATTGATTAACAAATTTCAGTTAGATCAAACAGCAACAGTGATTTTTATGAGTATAACAATGATAATTGATCAGTAATTGATAATAAAAAGTGAAAAACAAAATTTTATCGAATCAAAAATTCTGAAAAACAAAATGGAGAACCATAGATAAGAAGGTTGTACTCACGTGGAAATTACTTCAAAGCATCGCCTTCAATTTCTTCTTATATATAAAATCATGTTTGGTTTTCTATTGTAGATCCACTTTGTTATTTTTTGACTGAAGATGGCCATTTGAATGGCCGAAACATGTATCAACCTTAATGAAGCAGGATTGACTGCCTTATTATACATTAAAAATTGTGGAGACGACTTTGGGTTGTTCTCTATTGATCATTCCACTCCACTTTGAGTATGGAATACTACAGATGATACTGCAATATATGCAAACCCGTACTTCTCGGACGTCGCCAGGGCTCAGATTCACGAACACCTGGACAGGAGGATCATTCCGTATCTTTACAACGCAAAGATTGGGGTAAATCATGCCAAAACTGAAATCATGAACTTCTCCAGAAAATACACGAACAACACTGAATATTTGCGTGTCAAGGACACTGGGGTGGAGGCCAAGGCCTCCGTGAAATACCTGGGAGTCACACTGGACCTCGAGCTGTACAGACGTATGAATTTCTTCGCTGATACTGGATACCAATGCAACAATCAGGAGCATGTATCCATTGTTGGCGAGGAACTCCCCGCTATCATTGGACAACAGGCTCCTGATTTACAAACAAATAATCTGGCCAACATCAACATACGCATGTTCACTATTGTAGTATTTATTCTACTCACATGAGTAGGCTACAAATACTACAGAACAAAGTACTCCGTATCATTACCAACGGTAACAGATACACTCGAGTAGTAGACTTAAATTCGCAATGCCATAATCTGCCCCTGATCAGAGATTATATTCTAAAACTATCAGATACATTCTACAGATACCACATTCGCAATAGCGAATTAACTAACAATATCACGAATTGAGGCAGATCATGGCCAACGTAGAAAGCACGGGCTAATTTACGAAGCTTGCGGTATTTTCAGGGACATCCCACCCTCCTATTCTTCCTCAATAAAGTGAACGTGCTCTCAAACTCCCCAAAAATAAGAAATATATCAAGTTTCGTAGGTGGTGCGAATAAATCCAGCCCAAGTAAGCACAACCATTATCCGAGCCAGTGGATATTCACTCGGACCACGTCCGATCAACCAAGACACGCTTGAATTCAGTCTGTTAGTCTTATACTTTCCTATCAAACCCGTTCCCAACCCCTACCCGCACACTAAGTTGCAGATGGAATTGTAATAGTGGTTTTTTTTCCACTAACTAAGCCAACTCATTCAAAGAGATCTTGGTAGCAACAAATCTGAATATTGAATTCTCGCTCGCCCTGAGGATCTCGCTGATATTGGCTATGAATGGGACTAAGTTCTGGGACATATGCCGTCCTTTATATCTATCATGTGTGCTGGACCACTCGTGGTTGACCTCTGGACACCGAGAGGTTTCCCCAGAGGGTTTCAAAGTGTTTTTGTACCGTAATGTTTTATATGTTGCTGTTATATTTAGGTTTTATAAATACACACATAAATGTTATACATTCTTGAGTTGAAAAATAAATGTATTGAATAGGTTCTGGAGGTAGATTTGGTGCAGGTAGAGCAGATCGTGTTCGCTCCAGGGTTCCCTCATCCTCTATCTGGTAATATATGAGAGAAACTTTTTTTTTTATCAGCCAACAGATAAAAAGCGGCATATGTGTTAAAAACATAATTCTACCAAGTTGATGTAAATATACCTTATAGTCCATTCGGCAGGTCGTTGAAAAGTGGTGTGCTCTATCGATATGTTGATTGAGCTTATCGAGTTTTTTAAAAACAATGTCGATGAAAATATCAATGGAAGAGTGAGAGATGGCAAACTCTCTGCGGTGTTGATAGACAATCTTTTTCACTTGGACTGCGAATGTAATCAAAGTCTATCTAGAGGCTTTCAATGGCCGATGGTGTACCCTCTTCAGCACCTAGTACGCGAAAATTCAATTGAAGAAGTATTCAGTCCTGGATAATTACACTTGACAAGAACGCATTATGTTGGATAGTTTACTTTACATCCTGTATATCAGTTTACCCTGTATACAGAATATGTTGTTAACGAGGAGTTGAATCAATAATTCAGTTGTTAATTTTCGATTAATATAATAATCGTTAAAAATATAGTCTTTATTTTAGACATTATAAGCTACAGTTTTATAAGCCAACCTTTAAGCCAATATCAGTCATTACATTTGGTCCTTCGAGCCGATATGTACTGCTCTAGTTGTCAAACAAGTAAAGAGTACACATTATTATCTCATGTGAAGGAGATAATATGATATGCAAGTAGAGAGAAATTAGGTCTTCAATATTGTCTGATTAACTCATAAAATCTCGCATAAAATACAACATGTCGTCATGTGAAGAATATTTAACAACCTACTGGGTGGATTTTGATTTTGTATCATCACCATAAACGAAATCTTCTCGCCATTCCCTGCACTAACAATACTTACGACATGACTGAAACTCATCCTCTGCCTTCTCACAATCCGCCTGGTAATTGCAAACCAATAGAGACGGGATACACTTTCCCTCTGGACACCTGAACGATCCAAATGGACAGATGAGGCCAGTGGGGTCACCTGAAACAAAGAACAAGAAAATCAGCCCCTATGCTTTGATCAGAGTGACTAATCAAAGGTCATAGTTCTGAGTCACCGTTTGTAGAAGGTACCGATAGGATAACTCAAATGCGCTCAATTTTCTCAATTAGTTGAACCATTCTTAGTCAAAATTCAACTCTTATTTAAATTTGCCGCCGTTTATCGACGTGTCTCAGTTATATAGTTTTGATAAATAACCATATTTAGACTACTACATTGAATATTGAATACTCTTGATCGGTTTGGTGTGAACTGTATTCTTGGTAATGAAGTATCTCTGTTCTTACTGCAATCAAACTCAAAAGAGAAGGTGAGCAGGAATAGGAGACATTTGATAGTCGCTAAATACTGAATCCATAGCCGATATTGTCAATTTCCAAAACCTTAGCAATGGCTTGTCATCACAATGTTATAACTTGAATCAATAGATCGAATCATATGGCAACGCGATATGAAGAATTCAAACTTCTTGGAGATATTTCTTCATTTCTCACTCCCTGACGTTGGATAACGAACTGAATATTGGAGTCATATCGCCCAATAATGTTCTCCTTATTCCCGTCGTAAGGACTGGAAAGACTGATCGATAGAAACTAATGGCGGAAGAAAATCTCAATTTTGTTTTCAGTTTGCATAGGTAACTCCAGCTTTGAATAAAAAATGATAAAAATGTGATAACTGTCGCTTAATAACATGTAGGGCATCTGGCTGGTATCCCACTATGTTTTGAAGAGATTAATCATAGATCTAAATACAATTCAGATCTATGGATTAACCAAAGCTTGTATCTTCATTGAAAACAGGTGGAACATTTGTCCTAAAATAGTACAGTAGTGCAAAAAATATATATCGAATTGATTATCACTTCTTTAAATATAATCAGGAGGCGAGTCAGGAAGCGTATATTTCATGTATAGTACCTATCTGTTGGGAGTATAATCACTTGCAATATACACAGCTTTGCAGATGACATTACCCTCCATACTGCGTTCTCATCCAGAATTCCCATTCCCTCTTAGGAAACTAAGAACTTCCGACGATGGCAGGTCTGTACAGATCCTTCACTGAATGTGAGTTGAATACTTCTAATTCGCCAACTGGTTGGTTAAAAATCTTTTGGGCCCAATGCCGCACATCTGCACAGTATATGTCATACTGTTTCTTGTTCCTTTCCGCATAGTCTGCAGCTCGGTTCGCCATTATACAGTCCCATTCTGGTGAGGTGCTTCTTCACTGGCGCATAGCTAGTCATGAGTCTCGTAACAGTTTTACCTGTACTGTGGTCAAGTTGAACAGGTCTACAGTTCGTTTATGACTTGCTTCCATAATGTATTGTTTCCGAGATTGTTTCCTATGTTCTTGGGATGTTTTTTTTTCAGTAGCTCTTGTTTTGCATGAATCCAGTCTTCTGACACTCGTGCTGTACGTTTTGGTACTCCAAGAGTCTGTCCTTGATCTGGCTCGTTGTCCAACCCTCTTTTGCAAAGTTCGTCAGCCTTCTTATTGCCAGCGATCCCCTGATGCCCTGGCACCCAGATTAGCTTGATGCAGTTCTGGTATGCCAAAGTTCTCTTTCAATCCCATATACCAGTCGAAATGTCACTTCCTGACTTTCCATTGCCTTCAGTCCCGTATGCGTATGACTGTCTGACATAATGCGGATCTGCTTATTTTTCACGGCTCTCCTGCTATTTTCTTCCGCACATTGGAGAATTGCGTACACCTCTACTCTAAAAACTGAGGCATTGTTCCCCAATGAGTAGCTGAGGCTAATCTCCAGGTGTTTGGAGTATACTCCTGCTCCTGACCCATTTGCAGTCTTGGACCCGGCTGTATACCAGAACTTTCCCTGCAGTATGGTGCTGAGTTCTTCATCATTCCATTCAGTGGTATGGACACTCTGAATGAAGTGTCAAATATACTTAGCTGAATTCAACGCCATCAAAACTCAAGCTTGTATCTTCCCTAAAAAGGCAGAACTCAGTATGCCTCATATATCGATGTCTGGTTGCACCATTCCCACAAAGTGCACTATACATATCTATGCTCGGTATCTCTATCAGCAATATACTCTGATAAGAAAATCATGCCAGTTCAATCACGGCAACTGCTTCACAAAAACTCGAATTCTTATTCTGTGCGAAAATATACTTTATGCACGACGGGCGTAAAGTAGTACTTCATCGCCTGTTAGCGCCATTGGGCGATACATTTGTACAGCGAGCGGTAAAGTAGTGCTGCTGGAGGTGACGTAGGTAAACGGGCAGTAAAGTAAAATTATTAATTGATTCTATATTGACATTAACCAAGTGTCTAAAACAGTCGTGCATAAAATGTTGCATGTATTTCGGGAGTAACTTGCTTTTATGGACCTAGGCATAATAATAGCCCGAGCGTCTGCGATCCATAAAAGCCTACTTTACGCTCTTGATACATAGATAACTATTACCCCTCAAAAGCTTCTTATGATCTTAAAAACACATATGCGACTTTTTTCAGAATATATTGTTTCCACATATGGGGTTCATCACCCAAAGATACGCTGATGCTCTTAGATTCCATCCAGAGAAGAGCCATTCGCCTGGAGGGTGATGATATAGAAATATATACTTCCACGGAAAATGTTCTTCAGAAATCTCTTCTATGCATTCCATCACTGGCAATACCAGTCAGACGAACTCGACAAGCCTATTCTTTTGTCGTCATCCTTCAGATCTCTCCAACAACTCTTTACCAAGACTCGTATTTGTCATTTGAACGGCAAAACTTTGGTATTCTTTGCCAAAGACAGTAGCTGTTCCCAAGAAGTTTTTAAAAAATCTAATAACTACCTCCTCTTCCTATCCTCCCAAGGTACGCACGATCTTTTCCAAACATTATATATAGGAATTCGCTTTCGTGCACCCTGTATTTGTTCGAATTGAATGTCAGTATAGATAGTAAATCGCAAAATTAGGATGGGCACATGTGAGCCGTTTTGACCAATAATGACTAGTTTCGATACAAAAAAAATTCTCAAGTTGAAAAATCTTGATTTTGAACACCCGAACGAAATACAGGGTATACCAATTGAAATATAAAATTGCTATTTTCCAGTAGAAGCAGCAACACTGCATTGTCGAAAATATTTTAAACGAAGAGAGTGTAATCTCAAATTCATTCGGTAATTCTCCAGATACACTCCAAAAATCTCGAAACGCGTTAACATTAGCTGTAATAATCATAATACGTTCTTTCCATGAGGAAATTGAACATCACATCAGTGGGTATTTGAATTCCCTAATTCTCTTTCTTTAATAAATATAGGTATAATAATTTATTCGCAATAAAAAGATGCATTCGTGAGAATTGTTGATAAAATATGAAAAGATCTGTGCGGATGTAGATTCTTTCAGAACCTGTTTATGGGAATGTGGAGACTTACTTGATGTAATAACAGTTTGAATTGCAAATACTAATAGTATAATGGTATAATAGCTACCTATATAGTTTCGAAAAAGAATTAATTCTAAATGAGTATTTATATTCCTACAATAATAATTCAATTATTACGTAATACAAGATGATCATGTTTCAACATATTGAGATATAGAGCCTTGAAGTTTACTTTTTTCAACGAAAATCTGAAGATTTCAATGTTGTTTACAGATACATATAGCTCTGAGATATTGGTGATACGTGGTGATAAAAACTTCCCGGCAAACAATGTTGGTCGGCCTTTGTGCTGGCCCAGAATATGCAGGCCACAATTGACCAGAATGGAAAAATTCCTGTGAATATTAATGGACGAGTACCAACAGGAGATTCTGGCCGTCATCAGGGCCAGTACATGTCTGCGGATACATTCAAATAAAAAACATAAACGGTTATACATTTCAGAGTCATTTATTCATCACCAATATGATAACATGACAATTTTCCAACAGACAAAACACTCATATATATGATATAAATAAAACAATCCTCCACGCAGTGTGAAGTTGCCTAGTGTTAGCCAAAGAGGTGATTGGTCTTCGATTAGTCTTGGTAAATGAATCGTATCTCCTGAAGCATTGCTCCTGAGCCATATGCTCTCTACAATGAGTAATCATCATTGGAATTAATTCATGTGAAGGAGGAAAAAAAAATAAAAACCCTCTCGAAAACTCAGAGGTGTCATCGGACTCCACGTTCTCTATCACTATACGCCGGCAGAGAGAATCGCTCCTCCAACCTCAGTTTGACAAGTGCCACAGCTGGGCCACCTCTACTGTGGCTGGGCTATGTGGCTCTCACGCGCGAAAGCGATGTCCAAGAAAAATCTCGGGGGCTTTTATTCTCGTGTTAGAAAGTTAAAGATCCTTCAGGGGCTCTCCAATGACATTGGTCGACTCATAAATCAATCCATGGTTCCTATAGAATGCATGTTCAGCTCCAGTGGAAGTTATTCTTCTGGTGAGTTCACTTCCTTGAATCCATAAAATGTGTTGGAGATTATGTATATATGGTCTTTCATGTACGGGATGTCATGACACTGTTCATGAAGATCCACCAATCGAGAATACCGGTTACCATTGGTAATGATACAGAGTACTTCGTTGTGCAGCACCTGTAACCTAGTTTTTGGGTAGTCGAGGCACTGCAAAACATTGGACGAGACGGGGGTATGTCATGATGCAGGTCTTATATTTTTTTTTTAGATCAAGAGCCGGTTATCCAATGTCTGCGCAAAATTTCTGGCCAAAAAAGGATACAAGGATTGCAGCCTGTGTTTTTCGTATCAAATAATTGGAGTTTTTCATAAATGATAGACGTCTGTCCAATTTCACTACCAGGTATTTTACTACTGGTGTGTCCATAACCTCTGCGCCCTTAACGTTCAAAAATCGGCGTAAGATATTATTGGTAAATTTTTTACTGAAATTAATCAATTCAAAATGCGGTCTGACTCTACTATCCAGATGAATCTGGATCTGGGTCCTGGCGATGTCCGGCGAGTC